GGGAAAAGCGTAGTTTGGGACTATTGAACTGTTTCATTCAAACTGAAATTGTCTCTCTTCCATTTTAAACATTTTTTTTTCCAGACAAAAAATATCTAAAAATGCAATACTAGATTCATGATAGGAAGCAAGTGTATGCATCCCATAAAGTAAGACATCTCTCAAGCAAGGTCACCTGAGGCACATGGTTCCTGTTTGGTGAAATCTGGAGAAACAGCTACCCTGCCTTAAAATCCAGCCCCTAGGAGACATGCTCAGGTTTGGGGACCTGGCTCCAGGTATCCCTGCATACAAGAGCAATGCTGGAAAGTGATGGAAATGTGCTACCTCGTAATTTCTGTGCCGCACCCTAAGCCTCCTCATGGACGTAACTCCTGAGTCACATGTGTCACCTGTGAGATGTCAGAATGACTTCTCCCAATTTTTCTTTTACTCTGCTAAAAGGTCTGTGAATCCATTAAAAAAATCTGAATTTGTCAAGAACCTTGACTGCCCAAAAATGTATTTGCAATGTTAGTTTTGTCTGCTTTTTGATCACTTCATCAAAAAAAGAAGGTTATGTATGTTCATAGGTTACTATTAGCTCTGACAAAACAACAGACCAAGAAGCGCTGCGTTTCTTTTCGAAGAACTGGCAGAGAACAGCAGCGTAACAGTTAGCACGGCAAAATGGGACTGACGAGAAACGTTGAATGAAATCAGCCACCTTGGTTTTATCACTCAAATTACCAAAAGGAGGAACGTATGCTGGCAGGAAGTTCAGTCCTGCCTACTCGCACTGGTGCCCGCGACAACGAGGCGCGCTTTCGGATGCGTCACAGGCTCGAGCATTCACTATGATTCCACGCTAAATCACGGCGCTGCGAACCAGTGACATTTCTCTGGAAGGCCCCATTTACCCACTGGCGCCAGCAGCACCCCATCTCCCGCTCGGCCTCATGGCTGCCGCCATTTGCTCATGCGGGGTCGTTTTGAGGCGGTGGAGAATGGACTTTGCCCTTCCAGCCTTTCTGCTTAATAGCAAGCGTGCTGAATATTTCACACTATTGCAGGGTGCAGGCCGCTTACAGATATTACATAATTAACATGGTGGCAGCCATCGCTACTTGATCGGGACGGCTCCCCGCAGGCACCAAGCCTACCCACATCACAGCACGAGTTACCCAAAACCAGCCCCGCAGCTCAGGGAAATGCAGTGCTTTGGCTCTCAATGCTTCAGTGGCTCTATTTTCATAAAAAAAAAAAAAAAACAACAAAAAAAAATCCAGTCAAAAGTAGATTACCTGTAAAATGAAAAATCAAATGGGGATAGGGGGGCGCCTGTCGTATTTTGAGCCCTATTATGCAATGGAGTTGAGATTACATAATGAGGGGAGTGCGATTACAGAAACGTGGCTCCCATGACGTGGAGCCTGGCTATGATGACAGGTTGGTAACACATCACAGGCTACACCTCTGTAACCCAGAAATTAAATTTATTGTCAGTATTACCTCTTAACATTTCCACTTGGAAGGCATGTCCCAAGACTTTGAAACATGCATGTTACACCTATTTAACTACTAAGTTACTGGCAGCAGTTTATTTCAGCCTTTTATTTTGTCCCACACACATTCTCTTTTTTTTGTAATTAACTTCGTAAACTTCTGGAAGAACATTACTGAAACTCTCGCACTTTAAATGTGTTTATTAATGATGCATGCATAAACATCCTCTGTTATCGGAAATTACTACTACTTTCTGGAAATCTCTTCAGTGGTTTATGGAAGAAAATTATGAGATTATATAGCTTAATATTTATTACTAATAAAACAATTTAGTACTTTTCTGCACTGAGCCATTTTATGATCCCAGTAAACCTTAATTTAACCAGTTTACATTCAACATTCAATACTGTAGAAAGATGCTGAATTGTTAAAAAATGTGAGAATTGAGTGTTGTCCTTCTAAACCCTTGTTTAAAAGAATGAGAAATATGATCACTATAAAAACAGATGGGTTACCAAATAGTGAGATGTGGTAAGAGTAGCTACACAACTTCAACATACCCCAGGCTCAATGTAAATTAAGGCTCTTTCTTTTCTGGTAGATGTTTTTTTATATCCCAAGGTGACCTAGGAAACTTGACCTCTTCAAATGAAGTGCAGAGAAAAATACTATCTGGTTAAAAGGAGCAGTAGGCCCAAATCAAACAGTGAAAAAGGAGAAAAAGGCACTTACAAAAGAGTCTGCTAAATAATCAAAATTAATTTTCTGTCTTAAGAGAAACCAAGCCTTACTTCTGCTCATGCCAGCAGTTCCATAGAGGCAAACAGGAGTTACCTCATTTTTAAGCAAATGAAAAATATGTTATTATTTAGTCTTTCCCCCTCTCCTTTAGTCTTTCCCCCTCTCCTTGCCAAGATATGAATTTAAGAAGTTACTTAGCATCATTTACTGATAGATGTGGAGCTGTGCATGTCCCCTGGGTTCAAGGGCATTCATGAAGTGAACAGGAAAATCACCCTGCCACAGCCATGTGTATATTGCCCACTACAACAACCATAAAGAAGGTCTGGCTATGAGTTTCACCAGCAGTATTTACCCATTTATTAAAAGCGCCTTATGAAATACTTCTCTTCCTAGCATTTTCTGCAGGGGAGTAAGAAAAAAAAAAAAGCATAAAACGCATTGATTCAGCTCAGGCGAGATCCTCTGCCGGGGGAACCTGGCACCTCCTCCAGAGAGGAGAGCTGGCAGGAACCATCTAGCTGCTGTAACTGCAGTACATACCCGAAATTACATGTTCCTTTCAGGCAGGGAGATTTTAAACTGGTACAACTTTGCTGGCAGCTCAGGCAGCAATTCCTGGTGTGATTCCATGCCACACCTCTGCCCTGTGCTCCAAGCCCCAAACCTGGGAGCACCGGGGTTGCCTCTTCTCCCCCAAGGGATGCTATATGCAGGACAGCACCAGACAAAGACGCGAGGGCAGCAGCTCCAGTGTCGTGCCCTATGCCAGAGGCAGCAGAAGACCAGCAAGCATGGCCGACTAGATGGTCAAGGGCAGGAGTTGGAGGACTCGAATCCCAAAACCCACTGGAGCCTGAAGAGCCCCTTTTGCTTTGGGGCGAGGGAGGTGACCCTCGGGGGCAACAGGCATGACATCTCGGTGCCACATGCAGCAGAGCCAAGCATAGGGACAAAAGACATGCAGGAGGACACGATGGATACATCTGCTCCTTGCCCCTCCAAGCTGCCCCATAACTCCAGTTGGAGGACTCGAATCCCAAAACCCACTGGAGCCTGAAGAGCCCCTTTTGCTTTGGGGCGAGGGAGGTGACCCTCGGGGGCAACAGGCATGACATCTCGGTGCCACATGCAGCAGAGCCAAGCATAGGGACAAAAGACATGCAGGAGGACACGATGGATACATCTGCTCCTTGCCCCTCCAAGCTGCCCCATAACTCCACTGCCCCTGCCTCAGAAGGGACCTCAGAGCAAAACACACATGTCCCTGTCTCCTTCCTACCAGTGACGCCAGGTCCTGAGGGGCTACCTCTTACCCCCACCTGGCCAAGGTCAGCCACAGGCGGGGCTTGACCTGCTGCCCTTTGGGGTTCTCATCCAAACAGGTGTGCACACACACACACAAACCCCCCCCCGCACGCCCCCTTTTTTTTTCCCCTTGACCAAGCTGGCTGCAAACTGCCTCATGACGGCCTCCACAGTGTAGGCACTGGCCCAGCCGCGGGGGGTGAGCAGCTCCATGCAGATGGCTCCGCCGTCGAGGACATAGCCGTTCTCCAGGCGGGGGCTGAGCACCCTCATGAAGGGCGGCGAGAAGGGGAAGTTGTCGGGGAAGGTGAGGTTGA